CAGCTAAAAGGAAAGGGGACTTGTCAAGCTGAGCACCTTCTTTTTGTTCCTTAAATATTCAGGCACTTCCAAGATCCATAGACTTTTATTGAACTCAAATTATTTTCATATATTTAAGTTGGATTTTGATTAATAACATAGAGAAAAATACCATGTAAGCAAAGGAAGGCTTTTTCCACAATCTTTCTGGACCAGACAACTCAGTTTACAGTAGGTAGGATATCATGTGGAATGGGAATGTCTAGTTAGGAGAGTCCTCTCTTACTGGATGAAATAATATTCCCAAATACATTGAACTTTAGAAGGTGGAAACATATACACAAAGCTTAATCAGAAATTAATCCTAGTATTAGTAAAATGGGATAAAAACTACCAGTAAAGACCTGGAATCTTAATCTTTATAAAATCTAAGGGCTCTTAGCTGTATGTCCAGATTAATTGTAGCAGAAGAATCACATACAATATTCTAGGTTCTGGAAAAAACATTGACCCTTAGTGACAATGGAAAACAGCTACCTTTCCATCTATCAATTTTTCAAAATCCTGAAGTCATCTATGTTTTTAACTATTTGGATTTGCAAATCCTAAACCAAACCTTAACCTAAAATTAATTAAATTTGGACAAATAAGCTATCTAGTCTTAAATAAACATGAAGTTTATGACCTAGTAAATGCCAGCACAACTAAAATCTCTTTGAGGCATACAGAAAACTGAAATTGATTGTGTTCTAGACATACATATATTTTAATGCTATAGATATATAAGCTGTAAGTGTACAGCTAGTCTATTAAAAACAACAGATGACCAAAATAAGTGACATGATGACCTGGTCTCAGTAGAGACCTATGCTTTTGCTTTTTCTTACAACGTGAAGAATTTTGAAGACATTCAAAGTATTGCGTTCCACCATTAATCATCCTATGCTAAATTAAAGCCATCCTACCAGCCAAGGAACTTTAGGTAAATCCACTGCTTATGCAGAGTCCAAACTTATTTTAGATGTTTATGAGTACCAGTCACTTTCTCTCTCTACTTTTCTCCATAGTTCTTCACACCCTAATTTTGGATTTAGGAGCAATTTTTTTAAGACCAAAATCTTTTAAGTTTATTTTTTTTCCTCTGTAGCATTGCTCCAGGTTGTCTTTACTACTGCATAGGTGTGTATTTAACACATATCCACAAATAGTTGTAGTTTATAGGTTTAATGACTGAGTCGCCTCAGTAAACTCCTCTTTAGGTTCACAGGGCACACAATAGATTGTCAAGTAGCTGACATTACTTAGCATTTCAGTATACCAAAGCTGATAATATGACTATTATTTTGACATTGCTGCCTTGTAAGTCTTGAACAGCACTGTGAAAGAATACCTAATCAAATAGTCAGTGATATTTTATGCAGTAATAATTCTCTAGGGTAAAAGAAAGTCAATGACAATAATTAAAATATGAAAAGTTAAATATCCCTTCTCAAATTATGTCAGATAAATATATGTATGCTAAGGTAATCCTAAAGATTTTCAGGGGTTTTGAAAAAGTTTGGTTTAGGTAAGAAAATGTCAACAGTCTTTCAAATGTGTATTTCATAGAACTTGACCCCTTTTCCCCCTGTAAATGGCAGATAGGGGGAAGGGGAGGGAAATGGAAATTTGTAGTTCAACCCAGTTTCAAAAGTAGACAAGAACACCCAGAAAGACAGAATTAGTTTTTATTGCCCAGGTCTGTATTTACTAGACAGGAAACAAACTAGAGTGGGAAAGGAGTATATACCCTTGATTGCAGGCCAGGGAAAGGATAATTATGAAGTTTTGGGAAGTTGTTTTGTTTTGCTTTCCAAAAGCTACAACTAATTGAGGTCTGGGGAGTTCTTCCTAAGATCAGAAGAGGAAAAGGAGAACAACCAGAGCAGAAGTGCTAGCAAACAGCCCCCTCCTTGTATAAACGCAGTTCAGATAGAGTACAGGTTTTGTGCTGGCCGTTTGTACTATACAGAATTTAGTTCTTACTGTAAAACCAATCAGGTCTATTCATATTTAATTGACAGAGAACTCACTGGAAACTGTGTCTGACCTCTTTCCTGAAAAGATGTTTTTGCCCTCTGTCACAGACAATCGATGTTTATAGCCCCTTTATTGCTCCTGAGTCACAGGCTGCTTTGTGTTCCAAAGTACTTTTTTTTGAAGCTGCACTTTGTATAGCAATTGCAACTGGTTTACCCTCTTAGAAACCAAGAGTTATCCTTGCCTTTGCCATCTCTGAGCCAGTGCAATTCAAAGCGCCAGTTTAGATCTTCAAAGTTTTATGCAGCTGAAGTTGCAACAATTTAAAATTATCTTCTCTTTAACAAAATGAGAGCTGAGAAACCAGTCCAAAGTACTTCAGTTATCATTCCCCAAGTGCATACCTTGGGCTGGGAGCAGGAATATTTCTCTGGAGGACACTTGAGTTCGCTATTTACTTCCGATCTCACCCAGTCAACTATCAGCTCCTCTTTGTTAAATACACAGCAAGCAAGAGTAGAAATCTGTGAGGCTAGGTTTTGAGATATATTACTGAGAAGACTGTTAGTGCCATGACATCTTAGAAGAAGATGGTAATGGTTATGATTATGATATGTGGAAATGTAATTTCTATTTCAGTGTTTGGGAAATTCCTAAGTTGAAGGATTCATATTTCTCTTGAAAGAAAAGAGTTATGTCTAGATAACTCTTTTTTTTCATTGACTGCTGAGCTGAAACTTGTTTCATCCTAGGCAATTTGATAAGGACAGACATATGTTAATTGATAAAAGGGAAAACCAAACGTATTTGGCTACAATGGTTAAAAGATTGGAAGATTTTCAGCAACGTGGATGATGCCCTACATACCCATGTGTGATTTCAAGTATCTTTATCTTTAGTACTTTCCCTATAGGTTAGCAAAATATAGGAGAATATATGAATTTTCTTTCACAAATATACCCTTTCAGTACAATTAGTGAAAGTAAATTATAATTATAATAGGTTTATTGACACTATTTCCAAGAAAATAAAAATTAAAGGGCAGAGAAAACACAAAATGGAAATGGAATAGTCAGTAAGCATCAAAATGCCTTTGTCAATATTATTTAAGCTGTTAGAAACCTGTTTTAGAAGGTAAACCTATGTATATTAAGCAGATTTTTGAATACACTTGCCTGGACATGATGGCTCCATCATTTTATCTGAAGTGCTTAGCATCATTACCCACTATTGGAGAATGATGGTATATCCCTTTATTCTTTTTCAAAGTTCTTACTGTCAGCATAGCATGTCTAGTAAGAGATCCAAATCAGAAGCCTCTAATTTGTTGTCTTTACCAGATACTTTTCACAGATGTTCATGTCCAACTTACAGGAGGTTGTTGCAATTCTTCCACTTCTCCAGCATTAAGAATTACAGTTTAGACAAAAGTGTAAGCAATCTGTGCCTCTGACCTTTTGTTACTTAACTCAGCAATCAACCACAATATGGTAATGAATTTGAAAGGTGGGAAATTTCATACTCCAAAGTTACAAAATATTTGCAAATGTAGGGAGTAGAAGCGTGGTTTACTTCTGTTTCTAGCCCTTAGCTATAATGGTCTAAAGTGCTTCCCTTTTAGCCCTTTTCTGGAATGCTATTTTCAATGCAGTTTATTTTATGCAACTCACTTTGAAGCAGTTTTCACAGAAGAAAAGGTCATTTGGCCCAGTGGCACTTGGATAAGGACTCAATATAATTCCATTTAGGATCTTTAGAAAGAAGATGAGATGCTAAATAAATCAGTCAGCTGTGTCTGTTGTGGAACTCTATAAGGACGGATAATTTTGACATTAAACTTTCCAGAGGTTTGCTCAAAATGAACATTCCTAGACTGAAATGCCATATATGCACTATTTGGAAATGTACTTAATATTTCTATACTGCAGTTTGTATCTGCTCTTACTATCCTAGAATCCTGCATGATCATTTGGCTGACAGATTTTAGTGGTGTATCTTACACAAAATAATGATCCAGTGTCTTCAGAAGTAAATTTGACTTCTGGAAGAAGGCCATGACTTTAAGGTCCTTAGGGATAAATCATTTAGAAAAAGAATATTTTACCTTGTGAGAATCTCAGAGTGCTTTACAAATTTACTGCTACACTATGTCTCTCAGGCAAAAAACTTTTAAAGCATTTTCTGTAGTTTTCCCAAAATTTCATAAACCACACCATTCAGGGTGCGCCTTTCAGCTGATTCCTGCCACTGGGCAGTGCAACATCTCCTGAAGTTTGTCGAAGAAGACTAATTGGTTGGGGCTGACTTTGGATGAGGAAGAACCACATTATAAATACATCTTGCTTGTTTGTGATGTATTATTTTGGAGAAGGAGCTGCCATTCTGCACTGTATTTGAGAAAAACACCTCCCTTGAAGAAAAGAGGAGGAGAGGAGAGGAGAGGAGAGGAGAGGAGAGGAGAGGAGAGGAGAGGAGAGGAGAGGAGAGGAGAGGACTATTGTTGACTTAGCGTGGCCAGGACAGAGTGGGAACCTCCCGTGCTCAGGCCGCTTGGAGCCTCCCGGCTGAGCTGGCGGCTGTGCCCCGCCGAGCAGGAGCCGCCAGGCGCTGCTGCGGGGCGCCCGCAGCGTGCGGCGGGGCAGCGCCGTCCCGCCGCGCCGAGCGGCGCTGCGGCGGCGGAGCCAGCGGGGCCTCCCGGCGGCGGCGGCCACGGAGAGTTGCGGCGGCGGGGGGCCGGGGCGGCGGGGGCGTGCCGGGCACGGCGCGGCGCTTCACCTGCGGGAGGGAGGGAGGGAGGGAGGCGGCCGCGGCCCCGGTGCGCGCCCGAGACCCGCGCGGAGCCGTGCGGACGCGCAGAGCTGCGAGCTGCTTCCTCTCGCCGCCGACTGCAGCGGCGAGGGCAGGGAGGGGGTGGTTCTACCGTGAGCAGGGTCCGAGGGGGACGGACGGAGTGCGAAAGAAAACGGAGAGAGAGGGAGGGGAAGAGGGAGGGAGGAGGCGGGGGAAGGAGAGAGGGAGGGAAGGAGTCGGCGATCCGGCGCAGCGTCTCCACTCACTCTCTCCGCTGCTGTAACTCTTCAACTCTGCCCGTTCTTTGCCTGGACATGTCTTAAGAAAGTTGGATCTCTCCCTCCCTCTCGCCTCTCTTCTTTTTCTTCTTCTTTTTATTTTTTTTTCTTTTCTTCTTCTTCTTCTCCCACTCCCCGTGTATTTTTCCTTCCCCCCTCGTTCAAGTTTCAAGCAGCGGATGGGTTGGAGCCGACATGCCGCGCTGTGGCGGCGGGGCCGGGCGCCGCGCTGGCTGCGCGCCGGGGCCGCGCTGAGCGCCAGGGCCACCGCGGGGTTCACGCTCTAGAGGCGTGTGGGCACCGGAGCATTGCTCGTGCTTTCTCCAGAGGACAAAAAAGAAAGAGGGAGGAGGAAGCGTGCGGACATGAACTGCGCTGGAGCGGACTTTGTGAGAAGAGTGCCGAGTCCAGCTGGTCTGGTGAGTTCTTTGTTTAATGAGTTTATTATCAGCAGGGTGCTGAGAGGGATGATTCCCTGGAGAGTTCTAGTGCTCTAATTTGTGGAGTTACTGAAAACAGTAGGATCTTCGATTCAACCCGTGGTTTTTAACTGTGTAGAGTATGTTTACGTATATATCAATACGTGTATATATACCTGCATATCGATTCTATGCGAAGCTACGCGTACCTTGGAGCTGAAGGTACCTCAAGCTTTACCTCACCTTCACGGCGAGAGCGAGGCTTACATTTCCCGAACCAGAGCCGGGCTCGTCGCTCCCGGCTGGGTTGAGCTCCCTCCGGGGGAGCCGGCGCCGGGAGCCGTGCCTGCCGCCCGTGCGCTGTGGCGCGGCGCCCCCTGCCCGGCCGCCGCGGAACTGCGCCGCCGCCGCTGCCGCGGGGCAGCCGGGGCCGGGGGCTGCGGGGCGCCACGGGGAGGGGGCGCGGGTGCCACGGGGCGGAGCCACCCGGCTGCGGGTTGGTGACCCTGAGACCCAGCCTTTCTGACGAGGTTGGTTCCGTTTGACCTGCAGCCCTGGGGGCTGTGGTTGAACAGGGGCTCCCTCCGCCGCTGGCTGTATTTATTTTTGTGGCTAATAAAAGACGTGGTGAGGCTAATGCGTAGTAAATGCGCCCCCGCTGGCGGCTCCTGTCTGCAACCCGGCTTCGTCGTGAGTCCGCTGGGACAGGATTCCCCAGACAAACATTTGATAGTCATTAAGTGTGATCACTTATTAATGAGCGGGGAATCCTTCAAGGACTGTTTAGGAGTATTAATCTTTAACGGAGGGTTGACAGTCTGCCAGATATTCCTTCAGCATGAATCCGGCAGGGCGCTTTTCCACTTGGGGGTACGGATTGGTAGCTCGTACCCTCTCCACGGGCCGCAGGGCGGTCGCGCTGCGCTCCCCCGGCTGCATACCCGGTTGCGCACTCCCTCTCACTGCCGCTGCTTTTCCCGACGCCGGAGCAGAGCACCGCTCCTTCCAGCGGTATCGGGGAACCGCGGGAGACGTCAGTCAGTCACTTTTGGCCTCTGTGAGACCTCCCTCCTCCGCCCGGCCGTTAAGCGGCGGCTCGCCCAGCCCAGCCCAGCCGAGGTGGCGAGGCGTGAGCCCGAGCCCGCCGGCGCGGTCCAGGGGCGGCAGCCCGGCCGCCTGTGAGAAGGGCAGCGGGCGCCGAGGCGCTGCGGTCGTGGCTGGGCGCTCCTGGGTACCAGCAGTGTGGGCGGCCACCACAGGACTTGTCCCGGCCACCCACTATTCCTCGGACAGCAGAGGACCGCGTGTTCCCACGGGCTCTGGCGGTCTCCCTTGCCATCCCCGTAAGACACCCACGGCAGCAGCTTTCCAAAGTTTCTGAGTAGCCTTTCTGGGAGAGAACTTCACCATACGCGAAATCGCCCGCGTCCCTGGACAGGCATCCGATTCCCTGCCACTCCGTCGTGCAGGAACGGGGCGAGCGCGGCGGAGGTGAGCAGTCCCTCCAGCCTCGGGCCACCGGGAGGAGCGGCTCGTGGTTTTGGTTCGCCCTTCCCCCGCTGTTCTGTTCCGCGTTTCGCCCTTCCACGGCGGGGCCGGGCAGGGGTGCGAGGGCTGCCGCCGCTCTGAACGCCGCAGAAACGAGTTCCGGAGGGGCGGCCGTGCAGCGCCGCGGAGGAATCCGGCGGCGGGGGGGCGGAGAGGCCGCGGCGAGGCGCGCCGGTGGCCGGGGAAGAAAGGGGCAGCGGCGCGGCAGGCACCGTGCGGGGCTGGCCCCGGCCCGCGCCCTCGCCCCCGCCCGCAGGCTGCGAGCCGCAGAGGTGAGCGCTGGCCCAGCCGGAAAGTTGGCAGAAGTTTCGGCGGCGGGGGAGGGCGGTGGGCGGCGCGGACCCCTTGGGAGGTTGAGGCTCCGAGGAGAGGCCGGGACGGGGCTAGCCGGAGGCGCTGGGCGAGCGGCCGCCTCGTGCCGCGGGCCCGGCGGGACGGGCTGCGAGCGGCGCCGGGCCCCTGCCCTGGACCCCGCCGCGCGTCGCGGGCCCCGGGCGCCCCGCTCCCCCCGCGGCTAGCGGCGGCCGGCCGGACTCACTCCCCGGAGAGCCAGCACGACTTCAGCGGGCAGGTTCCGCCTAAGTTGGGCAGAGGAAAAGAGTTGGCGGTGGTGCTTTTCCCTGAGGCAAGGTGTCTGAGTGCGTCTGATGGGCCATTGCAAACTTCATTCCCGGGTGAGCCGGCAGGGGCGGTTCGCGGCGGGAGAGAAGTACCTTAGGATGAATTTCTTCCTTTGTTCGCACTTCCACACCGCGTCCCTCGTTGCATTCCTCGCCGGATTGCTCCGAAAGGTAAAGGGCAGTGCCTGCCAGCAGGACCCGACGTTTGGCAGCAGCTCCCCGGAAGAGCCCGGCCGGACTCATCAGTCGGCTTCTGCTGCTTCTTTTATTCTTCTTTAAGGCAGTTGAAGCAGAACAAAGTTATGTTTGAAAGATGCACTTTTTAATCTCTCTCGTCAGTAAGTGACACCGTGTTTTACCGCTGTTAGAAAACTTCTTTTTTCGAAAGGCATTAATAAGTTTAAAGAAATGCTGCCTTCTAGCAGTAGGTTTTCCTGCGGTTTAAATACTTGCATGCAAGTTGTTCCTAGGGAGTGGCATAGGAAATACTACCTGTATTCTTTTACCACCTCTGCTGTCTCTGTAAAAGAAAAGAACGTTGTATAATAGATGTGTATTTCCTATTTGCTTTTCTAACTTTGTGGAAGTAATTCAGCTATTCAGTGAATAAATATCTTACTTGCATGCTGTAAACTATTTTAAAAGTTTTTATTTTATTTTAAATCCTAAAATCTCGTTTAGGAGACTGAAAGGCGAGCCTTAGTAGTCATCCCAGAAAAAGGATGGTCTGTTTTTTTTCTAATTAAGCATGCTAAAGAACTTTGTATAGCTAAGTTAACTCTACTATCAGTTCAAATAAACAGGTGTAAAGTGACTTTAAACTCTCAAAGATTTCTTTTTCTTTTTTTTTAAGTTTAAAACTGAATTCAAAAATCAGTAGAACTATTTTTGTTATCACAAATTTTACATACTGTGCTAAATTTCCATCAAATAGTTATTCATAGAGATTGCTTTTCTTTGCACATCTAATGAGTTCATGTTAGATACACCAGTAAGTAACTGCCTAAAGATAAACAGTCAAAATTCTCCATGTGACTCTTAGTTTCAGTCTGGTTTTAAAATCTTTGTTGCTGTTGGAATATAGCTGCAGCATTTTCCTTTTAATAGCTAGTATTTTGAAAACATAAATCAAAGTATCTCATGAGATTAACTCATGATGTGGGGAATACAAACATAAAACACTGGACTTTAGTCACAAGTTGAAACTGTTATGTTAATCTCTGTGACACTGTACATTTCTTGAATAACTCACCAGCTTTACTAAAGTAACAATACCATACACTCTCATCATGTGTTAATTTTCTGAATACCAAAACAGACACCTTCCTCCTCTGAAAAGCAAAAGACACTGTTAATTTGTTTGATTGGAAGGTTAAGCATGTTGAAACAGCTAAACTGATATTTCTTTTTTCCCATTAGACTACATGAATAATTGCTTTTGAACAATTGGAAGGGTAGGTGCAACCACAATTAGTGCAGCTTGCAAAGACATACAACTCTCATAGACTGCTACACTAGAAATCCTGTCATGACTGTTTAGTTTCACAGTGCATTTCTGTCAGACAGCATCAGTTGGGTGTGCTGATCAAAACTGACCTTTAAGGTAAATAGTTAATGTTTTGCTTGGTAGGTAGGTTATTCTGGACTTAACTGGTAGAGCTTGCATGTAGAAAAACAATAGCAATGAGACTAAGACTAACTTGGGTATATTGCCTGATCCTTTTTCTACCTGTGACTTCTACTGGTGGGGGAATAAATATCTCGGTGTATATTCCCCATAGCTACATTATATATCTATGTATGGTAAATCGGTTCAATGTATGTATCATAAGCAAGATAAGCTTGGTTTGGTCTTTTTTTTTGCTTGCTTGACATTGAAATTGCTCTTTACTAAAGTTCTGTATTTTATGCTTAAATCTCTCAAATCTTAAACTATATAGACTTTGAAATCTAATTACTGTAAACTTCCTGCTAGGCGAAACAGTCTTTTTTGTGACTGCTATCTTATCCAGTCATCTTAATTTATAAGTTATCAATATGAGCTCTGCTAGCTCCAAAATTATGCTTAGAAATATTAACTATCTTCACATTAAAAGTCTAAGTTGCATTAATATTTTTCCCATGTACAAATTACGTTAATGTTTTGATGCATTAATAGTTTTGATAATGTTCTAATTAAGTAGTAAAACTGTTACATATCCCAGTGCTGAATTTGCATCTAAATAAAAATTACCTGAATATACATATAAATAAAAAATATCCAAATGATAATTTCCAGATAAGAAATCAAAGTTTGTTTGAAAGTAGCTTTTCAGAATAATACAGTGTGCACTTATGAATTTAGGACTGTGATGTTTTGTTAAGCAAACGGTTACCTTGTGTATTGAGCATGGATACAGAAAATCCTAAACTGGTCATATTCCAAAGATAATAAAAAATTAGGAGTTCAAAGTATAGCCTTTGGCTAAAATGTTTCTGAAATTCAGTCATTTTGACACACTGTAATGAGACATCTGAGTTTATATCTAACACATTATCACTTTAACTTAATGCTTTCATACTTTCTCTTACTCGTTAATGGTCTTTATGACTGCAACTGCTTAATACTTCAGATATTTTCCAAGAATGTACTATGTTGATTTTTGGATAATCCGAGTCAAAGTTTTTTAGTTTTTAGTAGCTATGTAAATTATGACTAGATGGAAATAGTGTTTTGTAAAAGAAATTGCTAACTTGTTTTTATCTGATGCGGTTTAACTGTTCAGTTGAGAAATACTTTTACATTCTTATTTGTAACTCAATAAATTGCAGGGGTTACTACTGGGGAGGAAATTCTCTTACTGGTGGTTGTGTTACTGTGTGTAATGGGGCAGTGAATCAGGTGCTACACCATCAGAAGGAAAGCTGGGTTTTGGACTTTAGTATAAATGAATAATAATGATAATAAAAATTTCTAGTGTAACTGAGGGAGAAAGCAAGGAAGTATCTGATCAGATCAACATAAAATTTGATCATTGAATAGTAGATAGATCATTTGTAATAGATGGCTTCCAGAACTCCAGCAAAATGGAGGAAAAGCTGGCTTTGTTGATTGCTGAAAAATGATGTTTTAAGCAATCTTCTTAGCATTGCCTTTTAGGCCAGTCTGGTAGCATTTTAAAATTTTCAGAGTTTTGGGATTAACTGATATCACTATTTGTTTCAAAGATCTGGTTGTGTGTAAGAGTTTGTTTGTTTTTTTGGTTGGTTTTAAGCAGATATTTGTTAACTTGGTAGCATGCTGGGACATAAAGCCCTGCAGACCAAAGTGCCTCTGTATTCCCAGGACATATCATAGCCTGGGACGGAAAATAGATATGGGTGGAATAATACTGTGTAGCCATTGAAATGGTGACTGTTTCAACCTCACTCATTGCCCTCCCAACCTTTTCTTCATTCAGTGTTAAGACCTTGTAAGTATTGGTTCCAGCTAGTGACTAACTTCAAAGAGCTTTAATCTTTTTATTATTTGCTTATTCACTTTTTGTTTGCTATGTTTATAGTTTTAATTGTGCAACTTAAATGCTAGATTTAGAAGACAGACACACTTTTTTTTTACTCCTTCCAAAAGGATATTCCTTTTCATTACTCCTCTACAATACTTCCTATGATTTGTTTGAATCTGAGTCTTAAATTCCTGTCAAAATCATTGACTTCATCTGCGACTGAATTCCTTCTGAGGTTTTGAAGTGAACTGTTGACACAAGTAGATTAATTTGCTCTGATGTTTGCTAGTGGGCAGAGTCAGTCCATGGAATGTCAGTGAGTGTGATCTTTCACAGATCTACCTGAGCAGGTAGGAAGTAGGGAAGAGAAAAATGAATGTAAGAGAAAACATGAGTGGAGAAAGGATGTGATATTTTTTTAGAGGAGGTGAACAGAACTAGTGTGAAGATAGGCACTTAGAGACTGACATCCAAAGAATAGGATGAGGGCAAACTAGGGCTAAAATGTGGGGAGAAAAAGGTCAGGAACAATAAAAGAACGACATAGTGAGTAATTAGTTTGATTTGTATAGCAGATTGGCTGGGGAAGAAAACTGAGAAGGAGAGGTAAAGGAAAAAGTTTAAGGACAAATAGAGAAAGAAGAAAGAAATGAATGTGTACTACTTAATCAAAGAAATCAAGAAAATGTTAGATTGCTTTCTACTTGCTGGAAAGAAGTTTTTCCCCGAGTATCTTGTTGAAAGCTTGGGCTTGTTGAGGGAGCCTTCTGAAGCTTTGATTTGTTATACTGTGAGACTTGAAGGAGTAAAGACGACTGCTGTAAACCCAGATGAAGAAGGTGGTCCCAGATGTCTTGTTCCTGAGGTTTCTGCCTTTCTTCCTACTGCAATCTTGCCTAGATTTAGGTATCAAAAATGTTATACTGATTTCAAAGGGCAAATCCAGTTAAGTTGTGCCTCTATGACTGTCTTGCTGTTCCAGGCTCTTTCTCTGTCATTTCTGGAGTGTGTTGGAGAAACCCAACTGAAATGTTCCTCCAGTAATTTTGATAGATTCTTGTTCTTAGAGTTCTTGATACTAATTTGTTTCAGATCTATTCTGAAAGGGGAATAAAGGAATGTGTCTTATTCTTTATGGGCTTTACACCTTAGTGGTGCTTGATTTTTATTTTTTTTTTATGATAAGTACTACTCTTACAAGGGTAGTCAGAGCTGGAGGGAATGCAATACAGAATTATCTCTGCTATAATATTTATCATTCTTGGAACAGGTGCACATTGGATACTGTAAAAAATTGATGGTAATATCAAGATAACTCTTACAGTTTACTTCCACATTAAATGACAATAATCATTTTACAATCTAAATTAAATGGGGGAGGAGAATTTTCTACTAGACATCATTGTCATGTATGAAGTAGAGAACTGGAGTGAATGTTCATTACTCCAGATTAGTTCAGGTCTAGTTTGTTTGTTCATAGCAGACAGCATTGACATATTTCTTTTAGCATGTTGCTTCATGGGAATGTTCATTTGAACTTAACTCTGTGTTCCTCTCATGTTGCATTAGTTATTCCTAGACTTTTGATGTAGTGGATTTTTGGCTTTTTGTAGGAGTTTTTAATTTACATGTGTTTCTATTACTGCAAATAATTTTGACACTTTCTTCAAGAAAATTATATACTCTAAATGTGTAACCTACCTAATTTTCTTTCAAGTACGAATTCTGAACTAAGCATTAATATTTCTTTGATAAACATTTGAACAATCATAAGCTTTACTGCATATCTTTCTTGTTTCAGGGTTTCTTTGTAATTGCTGCCATGGGAAGATACTTGACTATGCTGTTGCTGCTGATGCTGCTGGTGCAGCATTTTGGAAACTGTGAAGGAAATCAAAGGCCACATCATGCTTCATCAATGCAATTTACACAACTGCAGTATAATGCCACTGTGTATGAGAATTCCGCAGCCAAGACTTATGTTGGGCATCCAGTGAAAATGGGCATTTACATTACAAATCCACTGTGGGACTTAAGATACAAAATTATTTCTGGTGACAGTGAGAACTTGTTCAAAGCTGAAGAGTATGTTCTTGGAAACTTTTGCTTTTTGAGAATACGGACCAAGGGAGGAAACACAGCTATCCTTAACAGAGAGGTGAAGGACCATTATATGCTGACTGTTAAAGCAGTTGAAAAAAATACAAATGCTGAAACACGCACGAAGGTCAGGATACAGGTACTGGATACAAATGACTTGCGGCCTTTGTTTTCTCCAACATCTTACAGCGTTTCTTTGCCTGAAAACACAGCAATAAGGACCAGCATCGCAAGAGTCAGTGCGACAGATGCAGATATAGGAACAAATGGAGAGTTCTACTATAGCTTTAAAGAAAGAACAGATGTGTTTGCTATACATCCAACTAGTGGAGTGGTAGTTCTAACTGGTAGACTTGACTACTCGGACACTAAGCGTTATGAGATGGAAATTCTTGCAGTGGACCGTGGGCTGAAGCTGTATGGTAGCAGTGGCATAAGCAGTATGGCAAAACTAACGGTTCATGTAGAGCAAGCAAATGAATATGCCCCTGTTATTACAGCTGTTCCATTGACTCCATCAGAATCAGACTCAGATCCAACATATGCAATAGTAACTGTAGAGGACAGTGACCAGGGTTCGAATGGGGAAATAGCATCGTTAAATATTGTTGCAGGAGATGCACTTCAACAGTTCAAAACAGTGAGGTCTGTTCCAGGTGGCAAAGAATACAGAATAAAAGCTATTGGTCCCATTGACTGGGAAAGTCACCCTTTTGGATACAACCTTACCCTTCAAGCTAAAGACAAAGGGAGTCCCCCACAGTTTTCTTCGGTAAAAGTTGTTCATGTGACATCACCACAATTTAGGTCTGGTCCGGTCAGATTTGAAAAAGAGATATACAGAGCTGAAATAAGTGAATTTGCTCCTCCAAACACACCTGTGATAATGGTGAAAGCTGTGCCTAGTTACCCACATTTAAAATATGTATTTAAAAACACACCAGGAAAAGTAAAATTCAATTTAAACACTCACACTGGTCTTATTACCACTTTAGAACCCATAAAAGCACAGTATGCATCCCATTTTGAACTTGAAGTTGTGACAAGTGACAGAAGAGCTTCTGCAAAAGTATTAATTAAGGTACTAGGCATGAATAGCAATCCTCCTGAATTTACTCAGACATCCTATAAAGCCTCCTTCGATGAAAATGTGCCAACAGGTACAAGTGTAATGAGAGTGAGTGCAAAAGACCCTGATGAAGGGGAAAACGGTTATGTGACCTATAGCATTGCAAACTTAAATCCATTGCCATTTGTGATTAACCATTTCAGTGGGATTATTAGTACCTCAGAAGACTTGGATTATGAATTGATGCCAAGGGTTTACAATTTAAGGATTCGAGCCTCTGATTGGGGTATACCATATCGCCGAGAAGTTGAAGTTCCTGTTACTATTATTTTAAATAACTTGAATGACAATATACCTCTGTTTGAGAAAATAAATTGTGAGGGAATAATCCCCAGGGATCTTGGTGTTGGAGAGCAAATAACAACTGTATCTGCTATTGATGCTGATGAACTCCAGTTGGTGAGATACCAAATTGAATCTGGAAATGAACTGGATTTATTTAACCTAAACCCAAATTCTGGAGTACTGTCTCTCAAACAGTCACTAATAGATGGCCTAGGTGCTAAAATGTCTTTTTACAGTTTGAAAATTACAGCTACAGATGGAGAGAACTTTGCAAAACCATTGTATATCAACATAACTGTAGCTGGTAGTCGCAAACCAGTCAACTTGCAATGTGAAGAAACTGGTGTTGCCAAAATGCTTGCAGAGAAACTCTTACAAGCAAATAAGTTGCACAATCGTGGAGAAGTTGAGGATGCTTTCTTTGATACTCACTCTGTGAATCTGCATGCACCTCAGTTTAGAAGTATTCTCCCCAGTAGCATTGAGATAAAAGAAGACCAACCTGTGGGCTCCAGCATAATATCTGTGGATGCTGCTGATCTTGATACTGGCTTCAATGGAAAGTTAGTATATGTTATTTCTGCAGGTAATGAAGACAGTAGTTTTATTGTTGATATGGAAGGAGGAGTGCTGAAAATTCTATCTCCCCTTGACCGAGAATTAAGAGATAAATATACCCTCAATATTACTGTCTATGATCTTGGAATACCACAGAAGTCTGCCTGGACCCTTTTAGATATAAAGATTTTGGATGCTAATGACAACCCACCGGAGTTCCTTCAAGACAGCTATTTTGTTGAAGTAAGTGAAAACAAAGAGCCCAACAGTGAAATAATTCAAATTGGAGCTACTGATAAGGATTTGGGGGCTAATGGAGAAGTGAAATACTCCCTTCTTACAGATACAGACAAGTTTACTATTAATTCTGTGACAGGAGTTGTGAAAGTTGTAGGGGTCCTGGATCGGGAGGAACAGCACATTTATTTTTTGAAAATTGAGGCTAGGGACCAACCTACTGAAGAACCTCAATTATTTTCAACAGTTATTTTGAAAGTGGCTGTAGAAGATGTTAATGACAATCCTCCCAAGTTTATTCCTTCAAATTACCATGTGAAAATTCGAGAAGATCTTCCTGAGGGCACTATTATTACATGGCTGGAAGCCTATGATCCTGATTTAGGCCAGTCAAGTCAAGTACGGTACAGTCTTCTGGACAGTGGAGATGGCACCTTTGACGTTGACAAAATAAGTGGAGCAATACGTATTGTACAAAGACTGGATTATGAAAAGAAACAACTTTACAACTTGACCGTGCGGGCCAAGGACAAAGGAAAACCCATTTCATTGTCCTCTACGTGTTATGTTGAGGTTGAGATAATAGATGTGAATGAAAACTTGCACCCCCCACAGTTCTCCATATTTGCAGATAAAGGCTTCATAAAAGAAGACGCTCCTGTTGGCTCCTCAGTAATGACAGTATCTGCTTATGATGAAGATGCAGGACGAGATGGGGAGATCAGATATTCCATCCGAGATGGATCGGGTATAGGAGTTTTTCGAATAGATGAGGAAAAAGGTAAGGTGGCTTTCTGTTATTTTTATATACTAAACAAAATCAAATGCCAGGAAAGAGAAGAGAAGCAGCATTGTCACAGTTGATATAGGTGTTCTTGTTTGGACTAAAAGATGTCACCAACAATGTGTATATTTGTGTCTGCTACTTAAGTAAAATTATTTTTATACGTTTGATCAGTAATTTCTCTCTAATATTCCCACTTCCATCCAGACTACCTAAAGCCATGCTTAAGTCTTAAAATCTATGCCACCCAGAAGTAAGAATACTCTTGATATAGAATGGACGTCTGCCTCATGTGCACACACAATCTGTCTTGTGGACAGTGGAACTGTTACACTTTTCAGTCTTAAATTACATTATCTTTCGCTCCTCTTACTAGAGGTATGCATGGGTGTGATACTGCCATAGTGCTGGTTTAGTTAGTTACTTTCAGCATTTGCAGGTGCCCATCTAGAATTTAGTAAGCCGTGCTGTCTTCATCAGAAGCCTTCTGCCAAAGAATACAATAGAAAAACTTCATATGAATCAAGCAGACTGAGCTGTTGACTTATTTAATAATTAATTCATACACTGATGAGCAGTGTGAGAATTTTTCCAGTGTCATGTGTTCAGAAGAAACATAATTTTATTTTCAGTAAAATTCTAGTGCTGACTTTTAACATTTCGGTTGGATGTCTATATAGCTATCTATTAATTTATGTCTTCGATAAAGAGAGAGCATTGATGTTTTGAAGTTATCTAAACATCCTGAAATAAATTGCGGAGGAATCTGGTGTAAGATTTGTCTACAGGTTACATATAGGTAAATGATGACATATGTGATCAATGTCGTAAAGAAAAAAAACTTGTAACTGAGAATAAAAGGTGGGAATTATGTCTGATTCATCCAGTAGTCATTTGGTGTGTTCGCTGTGCTTCCCACAATTGTGAATGTGGGTGATAGAGACTCATGAAGCCACTTCACTCTTTAGGGTTTGGGTGAACAAACTATTCCTGACCATTTTTCTTCTCTAGAAAGTCTGTTATTAAATTACATGGTTTGTGGCTAAAGAACCAGCTCTACAGGTTGAAATGTAACAATGCTTCCCTTAGCTTTGCTTTTAACAAAGCACATAGTTAAGGTAGTGAAACAGATTTTCTAGAAGTGGAGAATTGAATACTTTCTTTCCAAGACCTTGTAGTTTCACTTTTGGCCATTTAGTGTGTGTGCAGAATATTAGTTTGTATATCATTATGCATTTCCTTTGATATAAGTATATTCAAGTTCACTGTGTGTTATGGTATTTTAGAGGTTTCACTGGTTGTCCTATAGAATGAGTCTGAGTTTGGCAATTTATAAATGTGTGATAGGTAACAGAAAGTGAGAATGAACCTGTTTATGGGTATGTGGACAGGTATGTGTGTTTTTGTGATGGTGCTGCAATGGCAGAATTAGTTGTCTCTGTGTGTTGCCTCTACTTTTTTGGCACAAAGCTAGTTTACTTGACTAAGAATTGGTGTGAGTTTAAATAAGTTGCTTTTTATCAGCTGGTCTTACAAAGTTGGCAGAGCTTGGAGCAAAGCCAGCTTCTATTCAATAATATTGTCCAGAGCAGTAGCTCTGTATTTTCAAGGCAGGGGAGAGGCATTGTCTGTATTCATATCTGGTATCTAGTGTTTGCAGTTCTTTGGGGATGAAAGTAGAGGGATTTCGTGGGAATGGGGTGCTGGTAGAGAGGGATTGCTAGATTTTAATCTTATTGACAAATTCTACTTATGACACTGGTGTGGGGATAAAAGTGTTTATTTCAGTTTGCTTGATGTGTTTTTTGGTGATCTAAAGGAAAAGACATTGAATATGTACAAACTTGGCAATGTAGCTTAAGTTTCGGATTGACACTTTATTTTGGTAAAAAGCCATCAGAATTGTTCTTGAAGGCACTATTTATACTGCAGTGTCTGAATATTTGTCATATTTTTCAAAATGGACTGGCTTTGATACAGGGAGCAGACTGAATATCCACCAACAAAGCACATTGAAGAATTTGTTAAAGAGATTTGTCAAGCAACTTGTTAACTTTTTCAGCTTGCTGAAGGGTTCTTTGGACTTTACCCCTGAGCTACAAGTCTCATCCTACTGTCTTTGAAGGGCATCATACTACATTGTCAGTTCAAAGACAGATAAATCAGACTTAAGAACTTATTTCAAGTCAACATTAAACTATTCAGTGGCTCAGAGTGGCTCTTTTATCCCTTGCTTATAAGAAATTAAGGACAACAATCATATTTGCAGGTAGCCTAGATGATGGTAGAAGCATTGTTCCATAATAGCTAGTGCCATGCATTGGTTTTTGTTGACTTTTAGGTTGTCTTTCCCATATTAAGTTTGTTTTAATTTTACAAAGTTCAAAAGGTAGGAAATGGTATTAGTGTTTGATATTTGTACCTGTAATTCTGGTATTTTCACAAGGGACTTAAATATATCTTTGCCACAACGTCTTGAGTTCTGTTTTCCGAGCCTTACCTTTATTTTCAGTCAGCGGTTTTCATAGGTTCTGTTTTTTGCAGTTTTCCCCAAGCCATTAGCAGTGAATGTCCTAACAGGCAGCACTAAACACCAATATTTCCAAACTCAGGAGCTGCTTTGATTACTTAGTTCCCTGACTGCTCTGATGCTTTTCAAAGATGCAGAAAAAAGATACATTAGAGGTGAATTTGATAGTCATATTTTAGCTTTCTTATATTCTTAAACGTGAAAAGGCAATAATGGTCAGAAAAGGAGGAGAACAAGATGATAAAATTGAAGTAGTTTCTGTCTATATTTTGTAATGTAAAAAATAGGGCACACACAGTTTTAAAGTACTTTTTCCTTTCCTAAGCTAAAAGGAAGTATTTTTCACATGAAGTGTAATAAAGTCATGAAACCCATTTCCTCAGGAAGTTATAGAGACTGAAAGTATGACTAAAGAAAATAAATGATACTAATGAGATTACTTTGAGGTTCAGCCTCATGCTATCTTCAGCTCATAAACTGTTAACTGGAAGCCAAGGGGGTAAGGGAGAGAGATCAGAGGTTCAATATATGATTCAGAAGTACAACAGTGCATTGTGCCTGAGATTGTACAGAAATAAAATTTAAATTGCATGACAAATTAAGACTTTGAGATATTGTATGAGAGGAAAAATAATAAAATGAGATTTTTGTGCTGTGAATTTATGTAACAAAGCCATTTGTTTATCCTTTAGGTATGTGTTCAGGAGAACTTGGAATTTAAGATAGCTTTTTATTTGTGAGTGGAATTGAAGGCTGTAAATTGAGATGATCAGTTGGCTATATAAATTGCCTGTTAAAGCAGCAGTAAATATTTTATCAAAGCACTTGACAAGGAGTTGAGCACATCGGTGTGTATTAATAACAGAAGTCATTGTGTTGATGCAGATCTCAGTGTGCCACAAGAAAAACCCATGCACCATCTAAATCCCATTAGCACAGAACAGTAAAAGTGAGATAAATCATGTCAATACCATGCTGCTACTTCGATTGAGAAAAGCTCTAAAGAATTACAGAAGCAATTACTGGAGCAGAACCTAAAGTAGAAGCTCTGTGGGACCAAGGCAATACTGAAACTTCCTTGTCCCAGTTTTTATTCCAGTGGACAAGGAGAGAAAAAGAAGAATGTCTTCCTGTTTACTTTTTGGTTTTCAAACACAAGGATGGAGCATTTCCATTGGGTATTTGCACTCCTCTAAGGTTAACTGAAAGATGGAAGCTCTAGTTTGTAAAAACGGTGTTGGGAAGGGCTCGTAGTACTTTTTCTAGTTGTTTAGGCAGGTGAACAGTGTCACTCACTGGATGGGACATTATTATGGGACCACCAGCACGTGCTGAACAAGTGTCCACACTGATTTGCAGCTGTAAAAATGAGACTGAGAAAAACTTATAGCAGTTATTTAGCCTTCTCCAAAGAATTTTTGCCAAGCAGATTGCTTCTTTCCTTGAGATATCAGGACTTCTAGCTTATTGTTGAACACTGTTCTTATCTTGTTTTAAGGTTGTTTTCTTATAGTTTTGCTTTTGTTTCTAGTGCTCAAAATTTAGATAGCTAAGGGAGCCAACAGACTCTGGATGTGTAGATGCCATGGGTCATTTAGTCTAAGAAAGGCCTCATTGAAATGTTTAGGGAAGATGGGAGCCCATCCTGGAAAGTGTTGTTCAGAAGTGAAGGAAGGTTTAAGTAATGAATTCCATGGTGTCTGTTATAACTAACCAGTTGAATGGTTGCATTTACAATCCTTATACATGCAGATGCTGGATATTACATATAGGCCTTTCACAGTAAGATTTCAAGCCAAAGTAAATTTTATAAACTGATTATCAGAAACCTAGCAAGTAATTCAACTTGCAAGGCTAGCAGCAGGTGTTTTCTAAACTTCTGCAATTGAGGCTATTTCACAGTACATAACCTAGTTCCTGAATGGTGTGAAGGGTGATGTGACAGTCTGAACCTCATACATGATAACTTTATTACTTGTGTTTACAAGTTATTTGTTTTTACAGGTTATTTGTTACCAGGAATCTTACTGCTCTTTCATTAACCTGATTTTGAGTTATTAGGCCATAACTGTTACAGAGTAACAGTAAATCTGCTTTAAAATGATATGGACAAAGCTTAAGGTGATTAAACGAATTTGCTGACTTAAAAAGTTGCTTGAGTATGGGTTTTTAAAACAAAGATCTGTCTAGCCTGAGATGCGGTCTCCAGTAGCACAGGCAGGGCACGGAGATCGGAGATGATACTTTCTTCTAATACTTTCCCAGTCTGGTTATTTTGTATTTGGGGAGTTTTCAAGTTGCATGGTTTGTAACATCCAGGTGCTTATCTTCCTTGTGTAGTCTTCCCTTGAAACCATGTAACTTTCAAGTGTAACCTTGCTACTGTGATAAGAAAAATGCATTGTTGTGGTAAATAATATTAAAGAAGCAAGTAAAAAAAATAGCAGGGACATATGGAAGAAAATTA